TTTTTTCGCCGTTCTCCACCGCCGCGTGAATGCAACCGCGCCGAATTAACGGATAACTTACTGCTGCTGTAGTTTGTTCAGCGCTGTCGGCAATTCCCGTGATGCCCATTTATTTCGCGCGACGTCGGCGTCTTGGCATGATTTTGCCACTGAGAGTTACTCGCCGAAAAAAAAGGCCAACCGCAAACAATCTTGCCAATTGACCGAGAAGTTCACTTTTTCATGGACTGCGAATCGCTTCGGACTCTGACAGCTGTTGAGTCGAATATTGAGTTAGAGCGGACTAAATGCGTTTTTCGTTGTTCGCGATGCCTGAGCGTGCGCCTCATCATGTGGTTTGTGCCACGAGGACAAAGGTGGTAACGCACAACACACAGCGGGAAATTCGGTACAATACGAGACTATTTCCGCGCGGCGGGGAATTACAACCGGGTTATACTAAATTACAACCGGGTTATTTCCACACAACCGGGTGATTGCGGTAGGCGCCCCCGAGAGTGCTTGGTTTGCGACGAGCAACGATGACAGACGCAACAACGTCGTGGCAACCCACCCGACGACAGCTGTAAAGCAACATGGGCCAGCTGAACGATCGTATGTACCCTGGGAACTGGCGTTTTTCTTGGTTTTGTTGAAAATTTGCGGTGAGGTGTGAAAATGAATGATGTCTTGAGCCTTCACGGGACTGTCGTTTTTTTCTGAGCTCGCCAGTGATTGGAGGAGCGTGCGTAGACCTCGTAGACGCGACTTTGCGACCTCGCTACCTCGCGGCCGCGGCCGTACCGATCGCGAAAGGCACACACGCAGGGCCCTCGCAACTCGAGGCTGCTGCCACGCCCAAGTTTCGCGGCGAATCGATGTCTACAGGCGGAGAAATCGCAAAAAAACAGCTCTCGAGCGCTGGGAGAGCACCGCTCAAGTATGAATGTATACAACAAGGTTTTCGTGTGATTGAGAGCGAAGTTTCTGATTGAGAGCGAGATTGCGCGATGCGCTGCAGCTGGACTACCGCTGAGAGGTGGAGCTTGCTGCGTGACTTGAATTGAAGGCCTAGCCCGTAGCTACAAGCCGATACCCTGGTCATCCTGTGGGCGTCTCTCGTTCGTTGTGGAGCTACAGCGGGGAGCAGAATCTACAGCAGAGCTCACCGCCCGCGATCAAATCGCCCTGAAACAGTTTGAGGCAGGAATAGCCAATCTGGGGAAATCTAGCAACTTGTCTAGCTCCTAGCTGCAGCATCCGATCGCGATGACACGCATATGCTCGTGACGCTGCTGATGAGACCTTCAATTTGCGCCGCTTTTTGGAAGAGCCCGCCCCCTACTTCCCAAGAAATGGCAAGAGGCGTCTGGACCCGAAATTTCAATTCTTTTGGCTCCCGCTCTCAATCGTATACTCCGCTCTCAATCAGGCGAAAACCCTGTTATACTTCCTCTGTCACATAAGTAAAAGTCCGTTAGGATGTGTCTTATCGACAGAATCAAGATCAGAAATCGAAATAAAAAATCAGGAAGAGCCAACGAACATCTGCTGTGATTGGATGGAATAACTTTCCACCTGTCCGTCGGAAGCATTTGGATGGAGACCGCACGGAATCTTCCCATGCTTAAACTCGAACTCAAATAAATAAATGCAAAAACATTAAAATCGATGTCGACTTTTGCGAACAGCGCACGTGGCGGGCTATTGGGT